CATCTCCTGCGACTCATGCTGATCACTGGGACGTTGCCCGCTGGGGTTTGCCACTTTTCAACTGGCGTGGCAAAGAAAGCAACGCCCAACGTGTGAGCCATGCAGCATATGGAGTGAGTTGGAAAAAGGTACAGATTTCATGCAACCGATCAAGTCATTGCGTATAGCATGCCAGGGCGCGACCCCTTTCCGCTTTTTCACTTGGGCCCGTGCCTTTCACGCTGCGGCCAGGCTTTCTTCGGCCTCCTCGCGGCACAGCGCTTGGAGCCCGCCGTGGATATGCGCCCGTCAAGGGTACTTCTGGCATGGTGCGCGTAATCCCAAACACCAACAACGATTGACTTGTGGCTGGGAATAATTTTATCTATAGAAGCCATTTCGCAGTAAGCCGCTTTTGTACTACAACTCTGCATTGGGAGTGGGAGAGCTTCGCATTTGCAAGTCACACATGCGTGGAGTTGGCTTGGTGCCAGTGCTGCCAATCTCAAGCTGCTACCGTCGATTGTTGCGGTGGACTTGCAGCAGCACAAGCAAAGGTTTAACAAGCTTGGACCACATGGGCTCAGCTCAGGATACAAAAGCAAGCAAAGAGCTGCATGGGTGAACCGTTCACTTTAGCTCTTAGCCATGGCTCGCTATGTTTTGGGTGAACTGGTTTGGCGGCTTCGCCAACTGGGTGCCCCAAAGGACAGGTGTGTGTGAAGTCTGAATTGAACACTTTTCAAACAACGAGTGTTTGAGCAAGTCTAACCTTCACCCTCAGACCTTCATCATGTGTGTGATTCTCGTGCACTTCTCGGACATGGGCTCCATGGAGGAGGACTGGATTCGTTTCGGGGTTGTTTGGGCGGTGCGTCCAAAAAACACATGTTTGTTGAACCAATCTGGTTTTGAAAATAGCCCCCTTTTCACCGGACAGGAATTACAATACATCGAATTCTTTGCTGGAGCTGCTGCATGCTTCAGAGCTGCCCATGCAGCCAAAATCCATAGCTGTGCAGTGGATATCAAATATTGGGAATGCAAGCGTGAGAAGAAGTGGAATGGGTTCGACATACTTTCGCCCCCAGGTCTGGCGTAGGGGCCCCAGGGTGTCAACTGCCTTCAATTCTGTTTGGCTGCGATTCTGTCTTCCCTATATATATATTTAGCACACAGCTGAGGTTGGGCATTTGGTTGTTACTTCAGGCGCGGGAGGATGCCTTTTGCGCTCTCTATGGGATCGTTTGTTCATCTTGGGTGACAATAAACCGGGGCAGCAGCCTTCGGTCCCTACTCAATCCTCAAGGATTTGCTGAAGGCCGTCCTCATGTGAAACAAGCAAATGCCCTTACATCTCGGCTGCTTGGTGAATTGATCGAGGTTTTGAGGGTGAAGCTATGGACTTTCCAAATGTTGCTTGATGCTAGTCGGTTATAGAAATTACACTTGAGCGTTTGCAATGAGCTTGAAGTTGTTTTCTTGCTGCATGTGTGCCAACCCCATGCACGCAAAGGTCCATCCTCCTGATCCTTTTGACAGTGGCCCGCGGAGGGTCGTTTTTGGTGGAGCAACCAGGGACAAGTTTATTGCGGCACTATGATCGGTTTCATACGCTCTGCCGAACCATAACAGAAGCTTGTGTTCAACTATATAGTATTACTGTCGTTTGTTTCTCTGGAATATGAGTGCACACATGTGTTTCCCATTCGTTCGCCACGCCGGTAAGGTATACGGAACTGCTTGGTGGATGAGGTCGTACGGGAGCCCAACTGCCAAGAGATCCAGGGGCTACAGCAACAACAAGATCATTGCCAAAATCAACGTTGGAAGCCTGAAACGATCCCAGCTGGTGACATCAGTGAAAACCAGCAAGGTCTACTACAACCGCGAGGGAAAGAAACAATTTTGTGGGAATGCATCGCTCAAAAGCACAGAGTAGGGGTCTCAGCTGAGGCTTGTTTTGATGGATCAGCAGGGGTGGACATTTGCCATGGAACACAAACAAGTTCAGACTGACTTGGGCCCCCTCCCATCCCCACGGTGTCCACGGGGCACCAAGGCACTATCCAGTCCGCTTCGGGTGGAAGCTGGTGAGGCTTCTTCCTGCCTTGGTGCGCGATGGAGGTGGGAAGCCGCCAGGCCCACCACCAGGCTTTGACGCTTTGGGGTTCTTCTCTGAGATGACCCTAAATGATTGGGAAGAAGCTGAAATCAAGAGTGTAGTTCACTATCTTCGGGGGGGCACAAGGCTTGCCTGCCCAGCAGAGTGGAAAGCTGCTTTCCCTGAATTTTTGTAGGCCAGGAGGATGGCCAGTTTAAACAAACATGCAACAACAATTTGCAAGAGTAGCGCGGGTTGTCCTTTTTTGGTTCTGCATGGTCGCCGTACTGGTCTGCACAGTTAACAATATGTGGTGCCCTATCGCTGATCAACCAGCGTGATTGGCGCAGTGGTAATTGACCACACGTTGTGTAACTGTACAGGATGAAAGACGTGGGCGCAATACCCCTTGACCATATGGTGAATTGCTCTTCGGGTCACGCGTGCTTTTGGGGGTAGCGGTTAAGGCCAAACCCTGGCATGGTAACCAATTCAAATTGATTTGTCACACCTCCTTTCCTTCTAAAGGGAAGCTTCTGCACTTTTTGGAGTGGACCTGTTCATGCCAGCATTTGGTCAGCTTTTTGCGAAAGTGCTCTACGTGGATACCTTTTCCTATATACAAAAAGGTGTGGATTTGTATGTATTCGATTGCTTTTTGAGCTTGTTGTTGGTGGTGCCACTTCAGGTCACCCTAATTACGTAAATTTTACGTAAGTGCCCTTAGAATACGTAAATATTACGTAATTTGGGATATTGCCACCAGAACCCCGAGGCTGCGTGGGCATGTGTCAGTTGAATAGTAAAGTAGTCTTTGGAAACACTGGTGTCAAAATACCCGTTCATAAAGCGTTCAGAAAGCGTTCAGAAAGCGTTCAAAAACCGTTCGTGAACCGTTCGCCATTACGTAATTATTACGTAATTTGGAGAGGGTGCCCCAAGCCCAATAATGAACATTTTTCAAAGAACATCTTCAACTTGAGCAAATTGGTCCGGGGTTTGCATCGCCCACGCTCTTGCTTGAGTTTTCTCTTATACAGTGCATGCAACTGACGAGCTCCGGCTTGACTGCACAATTGGATCCAGGGTTTCTTTTGGGGTTGAAAAGAAGCCGCACATCAACCAAGCTGGCACTGGCTTGTGCACTTTTGTCTTGCTTGGGCGGTTGGCGAAGCAGTATTGGCAGCAGGCTGAGTGTGCTGCGGTTGCCGTAGCTGCTCGGGCTCAGCGACTTCTGCCGGCTCCTGTTGCTCTTTGGGGTCATGAGTGACTCATTGGAGCCAACCCGTTTGCAAAGCAAACAATGGAGTACATCTGAGTTTGCGGAGGGCGTCAGCATGTGTTCAGAAATATCGGGCATTGACTTGAACTCCCTCTCTCGTGAAGAGCTCTTGAAGAGGCTGCAGGACCTTAATTGTGTTTCGGGTTTTGGTGTTTATACTGCATGGGGCCAATGAGGGTGCCTTTTTGGAACCAGTCTCAAAACACCCCAAACGCATTGTGGTGGAATTGGACACGGTCGGCTCCATTCGGACACATCCAAAAAGGGGACATCCACCTCGGCTTCAACATGCTAAGACCGATCGACTAATTGGGGTGAACCTTGCTTGACATGCACATATACAAATCAATGTTTCAATATAAATCACCCCACCTGTTCTGTGTATCCCACGGTTGTTGTGTTTGGGGGTACCTGGTTGGAAATGGTTGTCACATTGTAAGCGCATGGCAGAACACCGATCCTTCCCCACACAGCAGGGTACCCCATAAATCTAGTCTTTTTGCATGGTGAAACATTCAGGGTGTTTGGTTTCAGGCAGGGCGCATGCTTGAACCAGGAGACGGAAAGGGCCATTGCCACGGTGATTGTGAAACCAGAACCTGCCCGAAACTTAAGGGTGGCAGTGTTTTTCCAATATGGATTGTATATGATCAACATCATCCCCACCACCAGGCTAGCAACGAAGCCGACGAGACCATCCCAGCAGCATCCCGGTGGCGCCTTAAACGTTGCTTCTTTTATTGTTCAAATTGAACCCTGCATGCGCGTTGGCCCAAATGTTCAGGACCCTTCTGAAATTGCAGCGGCGGTGGCAGTGGATCAAGATTTGTGGGATTCTGTATCGAACGGTGACAATGCGCCAGTTGCCGAACAAGACATCTATTTGATGGCTGAGTCCATTATGGATTCGGATGATGATACGCTTTCGGATACTTTGCTGGGGCTCGAGTTGAGCATGGTCCTGGAGCCTTTGAAAAAATGAATGGTGCATGTTTGTTGGATTGTTTGCCATCTATGGGACCTTTAAGGACCAGCCCAGCGATCCCTCGCCATCCAGCCTGCCATCTTCCACCAATAAACCTGAGCGCGTGGACTTGGACGAGCCCACCCCTCGAAGCCAGAACCAGCAGCCGGCTACAACTAGCACCTCGGGGGGTAACCCAACCTGTGAACTTGAGCTGGCAAAACTCCAGATTGCAGAGCTCCAAAAACAACTGGCGCAACAGCCGCCCAGCCGCCCTGCCCCTAGTGCCTTCTCCACACCGCCGGAAAAGACCCGAGTGAACCAAAGCCCTGCAACAGGTGTTACCGCCACCAAGACCATGAAGCAACCACCTACAGTTCAGACACCCGGAACTGAGACAGATGAGGGGCCCGATGACACAACCCCGATTGCGAAGCCTGGGGGGAAACCTGTCTCTTGGCGTGCTTTAGCTCCTTTTAGAAGTGGTGGATTGTTAATTATTATACAATTCGTCATTTCTCAACCACAAGCTGAAGAAAGGGGAAATCAGATGTCCCAATAGGGGCAAACATTGAATTTCCCCCTGCGAGGCTTAACCTTGCACACGTAAACAGTTCTCGCCTAATGGTAAGGTTGTGAGCAGGGACGCCCTCAGGATGAGACTGCGAAGGATGTGCGAGCAAAAAAAAACTGGCAAGTGCAATGTGAAGGAGACAGTGGCGGCTGACTACCGCGCCGGCGGCGAACGTCGCGAACTTTTGGAAATCGCGCTGCTGGAGACCCTCATGGAGACAGGTACCGAAAGGTCCGCGCACTCGCGGGTGAAGCAAGTCTTCTCGGCCAAAGTCGAGCACGTCAAGGAGCGCCTGCAGGAGCGCGAGAAGGAGGTCCACGGATCGTGGCTCACGGTTGAGCGCATGAAGAGTGTGCACAGCTTTTCTGAGCACCCCGGACGCACATCGCTTCAACCAAGTTGTGAACAATTGTTTTGGTCAACCTGGTTGCGCATTGCGTGGCTTAGGTCAACGGTGAAGCAGGTTGTGGGGTACTGCGGAAAGTTTCCGTCCGTTTTGACTCGGCCTGGCGCTTATGTATGTATACATGGACGCACGCACCTTCCATTGCACCATGCGTGCGGTTTCAGTTTGCGCATGTGACTAGGCAGTGGAAATACGATTCGAAGATCACAGAATATTTCGTCGAGTTGGAAACTACTACAAAGATAAAGCAAAAGGAGCTGGAGAGCTGGAGGCAGTCTTCCACTGAGGTTGCCCGATCAAATACTTATTTATCGAAACATCAAATTGCAGTCCCCACGGAATTTCGCTTGAGGCTGTGGCGAAGGAGAAGCTCGAGGAGCTTGGCAGCGCTGTCCAGGATGAGGGCTTCATGAGCAACGACCCAGCGCTGATGCCTGCAGAGGCAGAGACGACAGCCCCTGCGGCCAAGGCCGGTGTTTCAGGATATATTGCCAATCTGTTGGGTCGGGTACCCCCTAAAAATGGTTCATCTCCATTTATTTGGTGTCCTTTTAGCCCCCCCCCCCCCAACCAAAATGGGCCGGTATACTGTCAACAAATTTGCAAATGCACTTGTGTATAGCATCAACTTCTCGATCAAATCTGTAATTGCACCTGTATAGCATCCACTTCTGTCTTGTTTTGAACTGCCTGCCTCTCGAACAGAATTGAGCAAAATTGCGCAGGTTGGTGATGACATCAACAAACTGATGGAGGCTACACATGCAAAGATCTCCCTGATTTACAAAATGGTGGGTCAGCTGGAGCACCCGTACAATCCCAAACCCAATGACCGCCACAAGATGCGCACATCTCAGTTCGTGAGTGCGATTGGTTTATGTGACCCACTTTTTTGGCTATGACATTTTTTGAGGCTTGGATCAGATTTGGAAAACATCGCCAAAGCTTTGGAGAGCGACTACGAAGAGTTGGCTCGGCTGACAACTCTTCAAGAAACTGGCCTCATAGGGGACTTGAAGAAGCCACTTATCCTGAATTATATAGCTCGTGCCTCTGCCATGCAGTGAAACCGACCTGTCATGTGTTTCAATCAAGAGTCTGAAACATATAATGTGGCTTGTGTTGATTTGTGCAGCTGGTCGGGCTTTTACTTTACATGTGCTTTTCCGTATGGTCCCTCGGTGGATCAATCTGTCGATGTATAACCCATGGACAACGTTGCGGAAGATGACGAGCCAACTGCGTGGCTGCACGAACTGATTGCCTACAATCGGGCCGCTCTCCGGCTAAATTTGTAAGTTTGTGTAAACACAGCTAAAATTGTTTTAGTCGCACATCCGGATGCTTTAGTTCCCTCTACTTCAGGCGCCTGCTCCGGAGCCGAAGGAGAACATCGTGGCCAGGGCAGCGAACGTGGCTCGCCTCAAGCGGTTGACTACGTGTTTTCATGAGAGTTTGGCCCGAAACCAGAACTTGTTTTTGACGGGAAAACCTCCAAGGCTGTTCCAGCATCCTCTACATGCTCACCACCTGCTCCAACCCCAACAACTCACCATAGTGAAAGCTGGGCTGATCTTCTTGGTAGCGATGTTCTTCAACAGCATCGAACTGGTGAATGCTTTGAGAAAATTCTTTCAGACCCTGCCATCGACTTCAGCCTTCCTCCTCGGAACAGCCTCCCTGGCACGATCTTAAAGTTTATTTTCAGCGCAGTTGACTCTTTGATTGCAAAGGAGAGCCCGCTTATATACAAGTTTGGCTTTACGCACTGCGCGCAGTGGCGATTTCGCAATGCGATGTACGGATATGTCACTGACACATTTCACCAGTGGGATCGGATGAGAGTTATGTACGCTGCCTCGGAAACTATATCACCGGCTTTTGTTGAGGCTGCCCTCATTCAGAGGTACAAGGGTTGCTTGGCTCAAGCATGAAATCAACCATTCCCCATTGTTGAGCACGAATGCCCGAAAACTGGGCCACAGGTGGACTGAAACGTATCGGGCATTTTTTCCGCGTGCTTCAGTTGTTCATTCCTGAGGTTGCTCGGGGTGCAAAAACATCCGAGATGGCGGGGAGTCTGTGCAGAAGTCTGAGTGTGGCCCCTTCCTCGTCTACTGTGTCTTCAGATCATTCAAGCACCCGCCGGCTGTGAAGGGCAAACCCGAACAGAGAACAAGACCCCTTCGTTGAATGTTGAATGGAAAAGAAAGCTGTGGTTGATTGCACTGACTGATGGGCTCAACCCTGCCGATCCAAGGCTTCAAACGGAATTTGACGCTGTTCGCTCGAAGATCCAAAAACCGTGCCTTTTCTGAACTCGAGCCCAACACATGTTCCCTCAACAGACTGCCGCCAAACAAGGTGTGCTGAGCTGTGTGGCAAGATGGCCAAGCATAAGTGCATCACTTAGTTGGATTGGTTCTCGAAAGACAACAAGAGAAGAGAAGAGAGAGAGAGAGAGAGACAGAGAGAGAGAGAGAAGAGCGAGCGAGAGATATAGAGAGAGAGAGAGAGAGATAGCCCCCGTACACAGTTTACTTCTCACTTGAACAAAACACACGCTTGGCTGTAGGCTTTTCCTGAAGGAGATCAACCAGAACCGCAAGAAGAGTGGGCAGGACACGTGTGAGAAACCAAAGAAACGCGATGAGCCGGATGCGGAACAAGAAGCGCCCCCTCCAAAGAAGAGGGCGCGAAGGAAGGTCAAAGCTTGAATACTGCACATATGATGCTCTCTTGGGTGGTGAGTTCATTGAAATCGCCAAAACACTCCCCCTTACAATTCCTTACATGCATATATATATAATAGCTCATACAGAGAGACAGGTTACCAAGGTTGTTTGATTGCGTCCGAAGAACAAAGTGTTGGCGGTTTCGATGAAACTGTTTGCTCGTTGGCCTTAGCCCTGAGTGTGTGAATACACGCGCTCAGCCTGGCCAACATTAGAATCTTTAGATTGCTGCGGTTATGCGCAGCGCTGGTAATCCATCGATCACGCAACTGACATCCAGAAGCGTGCTAGAGTTGTGGTCTTGGGGTCGGCTCAAAAAAGACTTTTGCGCATTGGCTTGACCTGAGTGGTTGCAACAGCATGCGCATATTGGTACCAAACTTGAAACCAATCCGAAACGGCTGGTCGAACGCTTGTCGAACGCCAGGTCCGTGCTGGACAGCTAAGAAGCTGGCTCGCGACATTGGAAGTGGAGAGCCATGGCTGCAGGACTCTGGTATAGCGTTGGTTTCACGAATGTTCATCCATATTTTGAAAGAGGTGTCATTTTTGAGGGACTATTGCAACGCTGCTTCTCGTTTTCTTTCGCCAAGGGGACTTGCACAAGCGCTCTGGGTACAGCTCGGGCTGTGATGCGTGATTCCCGGGAGCTAGGTGGCGAGGAGATACAATGCCCTGTCCTCAAGAGGTTGGAAGGGGCTCCAAACAAGAAGTCTGCCGCTTTGCAGGCAAAGTCGTGCTTTCGTGACTGTGTTGCTTTTCCCAAACATGGAAGCCCAAATAAACAGCCATGGCGGTTGGACCGGCCTTTTGTTGTCCTTTTTCAGGTGGTACAAAAAACATATTAACAACATTCTTCAGCTCTGAATCAGGAAGAGGTCGCCCACCGAACCTTCTCCAAGTTTGGCCTTCGATTGAATGTGAAGATTACTTATGTGGATGTGGGTGCCCGCCAAAAGCTGCCCATGCTCTTGCCGTCGTCCTTCCTCGAGCTCATAGACAAGAAAAACTTCTGGGGCAAGATTTGCGGACAACCAACTCTGGCATCGGCTGAGCGTGCCTTTGCATCTTTCTGGGAGAAGTACAAAGTTGTTTGCCCCGACTTCACGTTTTTCGACATTGCCCGTGAAAGAAATATCCCCTTGTGTAGGGCGTGCCCCATCTATGTCCACGGGGATGAGGGCACCCACTACAAACGAGGTGCAATAATGATCTTGCAGTTTCAGGGGGTGCTGGGGTCGGGAACTACTCGCCATGTGAATGACAACACCCGGGATGCTCTTGCCGTCAACTCGTTGGGCAACACGTTGAACACAAGACTGCTAGTCGGCACTATGACAAAGAAAGCTTGGTCTCATTTACAATGATGCAACATTTTCACTTTAGAATTTGCGGTAAATCGTTACAGGTGTTCCTATCTTTGGATCTTTGGGGGTGTCGTGCAAGTTCTTAATTGGTCAAGCCAAACGCCAACCCTCGATGCCGATCTATATCATTCCCATTAAGGCAATGTACAAGTTTACACCCGACGTGCTGGAGGGGATGTTTGAATTCCTGGTGGGGGATTTGCACATGCTGTGCACCAAGGGTCTAGTTTTGAAGGATGGCAATCCTCTCTGGTTGGTACCCTTAGGAGTGAAGGGGGATTGGCCGTTTCTCTTATCTTGGCAAGCCATGGCAATGCTTTTACTGTTTTTGCACCGGTCCCGCCTAAACAAGCTTACACGAGTGGCTTTGGAATCCAAGGCCACTGCTGGTGGACTTACCAGGACATTCCGAAATGGCCCAAAGGCTGCTGCCTCGAAAACCGCTGGGGTTGGAATATGCCACCTTTGCAGAGCCGGCCAACCGGGGCTGGACTTTGAGGATATGCTCCCTGCCTAATACTCTTTGCGTGGTAGCTTTTGTAGTTTGACATTTCTTTGGAATGTGTTAAATGGGATTGGTGTAAGTGACAAGCGATTGAAAACAGTTGCATTGGGCCCCAAAAAGGTCTGACTACCCACCATTCATGGAAACCATCGATGAGCAACCTCCTTGGGATGACTTGCCGTGTTGGGTTCGGGTACTTCCACATGATCGCAACAGCCCCGCTGCATACTTCAAGCCTGACGTGTGGCATACCGTGAACCTGGGGGTGGGGCGGTCATGGGTTGCCAACTGCGTGGTTCTCTTGGCATGCAACCTTCCGGAGTTTGAGAGCCTCAGCATTGACGATACCTTGGCCCGCCTGTCGACTTCATACGTTGCTTTCTGTGAGGCGTCTGAACCTCGATTGATTTTACAACTAGTTTAGCCCGTTTGAATTATAAACAACAGCCGGCGCTTGAACATGCTGCATCCTACGCTTGCTGTTTGGCAACTGCATGCATATAAGGTGCCGAAGAAGGTGAAGTACATCAGCACGCTTACCCGAACGACTTTTGGCTGGGAAAGCACTAGTGTGGCGCCCGACGGCACTTGGAGCAAGGGTTCCTTGACAACAACTTTAGCATCCTGGGTGGAAGCATTCTGTCAAGAGCGCGCTCTGGAACAAGGTTCTGACAACCGGCTTGCTTTGGTGGCTTCAGGCACTCGTGCCATGAATGCAATGATGAAAGCCTTTTATGATCATGATTTGTGGCTGGATATGGCTGGTAAGAACCGCGTCCTAGCTGCTGGCCATCACTTCTTGCAAGCAACCGCAAAGCTTGCGGTTCTCTCTTTCCAGCTCCGCCAAACAATGTTCCCAATT